GGGCTCGACCCCAGGACCCCGAGATCATGACCAGAGCCAAAGGCAGATGCCCAACCGACTGAGCCACCCAGGTGCCCCCTTTCCCAGTTTTTTAATGACAAAATTATGAAACAAAAATAGTTGAAAAAATAGTTTAATGAACTCCTGTATACTGAACACTTAGATTCTACAGTCTTAATATTTTTGCCATATTTGCTTTATCTGTTTATTTTTCTATTGTCTTTGGTTTTTCTGTGTGTGCAGTTTTTGTTTCTTGTTACTTTGTTTTTGCCAAGCTATTTGAAATAAGCTGCAGACATCACAACATTGTACCCCCTAACTATCTCAGCATAGATCTCTTAAGAATACATGCTTTTCCTTACATATCCATGATATCATTATTATATCTAAGAAAAATATCAATAATCTAATATATTTAATATCTAGTCTATATTAAAATATTCCCAATTGTCTCTGAAGTTTCTTGTTTCCCCAATCAGGATCCAGTAAGGACTCATGTTTTGTTTTGTTTTATTTTCCAAGATTTTATTTATTTATTTGACAGAGAGAGAGCAAGAGAGCACAAGCAGCTGGAGCAGTGGGAGAGGGAGAAGCAGACTCCCTGCTCAGCAGGGAGCCCGATGCGGGGCTAGATCCCAGGACCCTGAGATCATGACCTGAGCTGAAGGTAGACGCTTCACTGACTGAACCACCCAGGCGCCCCAGGACTCATGTCTTAAATTCTTATTGTGCTTCATTTTATTTTTAACAGCTTTGTTGAAATATAATTGATGTACAACAAACTGCACATATTAAAGGGTGAAGTGTGATAAATTTGACACATGTATAAAATGTGAAGCCATCAATACAATCAAGGTGTGAACATATCCTATCACCCAAACACTCCCTTGTTTCCCTGTGCACTCACCCCCTCTCCCTGATCCCCAATTCCCAGGTAACTGCTGATCTTTTTGTCACTGTAGATTAGATTGCATTTTCCAGAACTTTATATAAATGGAGCCATATGATATGTATTCTTTTTGCCTAACTTCTTTCACTCTGAATAATTATTTTGAGATTTACCCATGTTGCTGTAGTAATCAATAGTTCATTCCTATTTATTGCTAAGTAGTTATTTTCTTTTTTTTACTGAGATACAATTTACATATAACATTCTTTTCAGGTGTGTAGCACAATTATATATAATTGTATATATTACAAGATGATACTGATCAGTCTAGTTAACATCGATCACCACACAGAGTTACAAGTTTTTTTCCTTGTGGTGAGAACTTTTAAGATCTATTCTCTTAGCAACTTTCAAATATACAATACAGTGTTGTTAACTATGGTCACATTACCTTTTCAGGACTTACATATTTTATAAAAGTATGGAATGCTTCACCAATTTGAGTGTCATGCTTGCACGGAGCCCGTGTTAATTTTCTCTGTATCATTCCGATTTTATCATACGTGCTGCCAAAGAGAGCACTGAATAGTATTTCATTTTATGGGTATACCACCGTTTCTCTATCCATCCACCTGTTGATGGACATTTGGGTTGTTTTCAGTTTTTGACTCTTATAAACAGGACTCAGACTAGGTAATAGAACAAGGCAGCTTGTGCTCACCCCCAGGTCTGTACGTATATTCCACGTGCCTCACCTTGCACGGCCCCTGATCATAGACGAAACAGCTATGAACATTTGCCTCAAGTCTTGGCATGGACACAACACATGCTTCTGTTTTTCCTGGGTAAGTACCTAGGAGTGGAGTGGCAGGGTCAAATGGCAGCTGTTCCTTTCACTTTTTTAGAAGCTGCTAAACCACTTTCCAAAGTAGATGTGCCCTCTTACATTTCTACCAGCAATGTAGGACATTTCAGTTGCTTCACTCACCAGCACTTGGTATGGTTAGCCTTTTGAATTTTAGTCCTTCTGGTAGATGTGTAATGATATCTCATTGTGGTTTTTATTTGCCCTTCTCTAATAACTAATGAAATGGAGCATCTTTTCATCTGCTTATTTGCTGTCCATGGATCGTCCTTGATGTAGTGTCTGTTCAGATCTTTTGCCCATTTTTAATTGGATTGTTTGTCATCTCATTGAGTTGTAGAGTTATTTGTGTACCCCAAATACAATTGCTTTTGTCAGGTATATGTTTTGTAATATTTCCTCCTGGTAGGTGGCTTGCCTTTTCATTTCCGTAATATTGTCTTTTGAATGGCATGAGTTTTGGGGTTTTTCGAAGTTCACATTATCAATTGTTCCATGCTTTTTGTGTCATTTCAAGGAAACTTTGCCAAACCCAAAGTCATTAAAATTTTCTGTGTTTTCCTTTGGAAGTTTTACCTCTAACATTTTGGTCTTTCTCCATTATGGTTAATTCTAAATATGGTATGATGTAAGGGTTGAGTTTCATTTTCTCAACATGATATCCAATTGCTCCAGCACGATTTGATAAAAAGATGATTATTTCTCCATTAAAATGCCTTGTCAACATTGTTTAAACTTAATTGCTCATATATGTACAGGCCTATCTTGGGCTCTATTCTGTTCTATTACTTTTCTGAGTTTCTCTTATCTCCAATGCCACACACATTTCCTGAATTTTAAAATCAGCTTGTCAATTTCAAAAAAAAAATTTAAAAAGCCAGCTGAGATTTTTTAATAGAATTGCTTCGAATCCATAAATTGATTTGGAAGAAATTCACACCTTAACCATATGGAGTTACCCAGTCTATGACCACAGTATCTTTTCCAGTTTACTCAAGTCTCTTCTCATGCCTCTCAGCTGTGTTTTGTAGTTTCCAGTGCTCAGGTCTTGTCCATCTTTTGTCAAATATACCCTTCCTACATAGTTCGTATTTTTGTGTCATGTTAAACATATTGCTTATCTACTGTCAAATTGATAGCTCTATTTTTTTATATTGGTTGTTTATCCTTTTTTTTTTTTAATCTTAAACCTTGCTAAACTTAAAAGTTACAGTAGTTTTTTTTGTAGACTCCAAAAGAGTTTTTTAAATAAGTGATTATGATTTCTGAGAATAAATTGTTTTACTTCCTTTCCAATATAGAGCTGGGTTTTTTTCCCCCTTTTTCTGGCTTTACTGTGCTGGCCTGAACCTCTAATACTAGTTCTAGTACTAATGGGTAGACAAAGTAACAGCAACTATTCAGTCTGTCACTATTAATTAGGATATTAGCTACAGGTTTTCTCGAGTTGCCCTTTAACATATTGAGAACATTCCCTTCCTGTCGTAGACTGAGAGTTTCTGTCATGAATGAATATTGCACTTGCTAACATTTTCTTATGAATTTTTGTATCTGTGTTCATGAGAGATATCAGTCCGTGGTTCTTTTTTTTTTTTTTTTTAAATTCCTGTAATGTGTTTTTCTGGTCTCTGTATTGGGTTAATACTAGTCTCCTAGATTGAACTGTGAAATATTCCTTTCTCTTGAATTGGATGGAAGAGCTTAGCATTAGCACACTTGCCAAGTCTTGGAATGTTTGGGCTTTTCAATTTGTTGTTGTTCTTTTTTTTTTTTTAAGATTTTATTCATTTATTTATTTGTTTGTATGTGAGAGAGAGAGAGAGCACAAGCAGGGGAAGCAGAGGCAGAGGGAGAAGCTGATTCCCGGTGGAGCAGGGAGTCCAATGCAGGACTTGATCTCAGGACCCTGGGATCATGACCTGAGCCTGAGGTGAACGCTTAACTGACTGAGGCACCCAGGCACCCCAATTTGTTTTTGTTCTTTGTTTCTCAGGTTCCAAGATAGATTCAAGCTAAGGGTAATGAAGAAGAAAACAAAAACACTGGGCATCAATCATTTGCCGCCAGGCACATTTACATGTTTAATCTCTATTAGTTACCCCAGGACTAGAAGTGTGCATTATACTCCCATTTTACAAGTTTAGTGAAAGAGGTTAAATAACTTGCCTAAGAGGACATGGTAAGTCTTGGAGTTCTGATTGGAAAGCAGGTCTCTAAGTCTCCAGAAGCTGTATCCTCTTTCCTACACAAGATGAGCAAATTAAAGTATATACCTCGTAGTTTGAGAAACTAAGATCTGGGAGCACGAATTTAACTTCACTCCACAGTCCCTTAAATGCACAGGTTGCATGTTGAACTAAACTCTGAAATCCACCTGATGCTGAAATTCCCTCAGTAGTTTCAGAAATAAATTGACTTGGTTTGACACCAAAGAAAATGGAAACAACATGATAATTGAAACAACAGCACTATAATGATAAGATACAATAAATAGATGAATTTAATGATTGCTGAGTCCAAGCTGGAATTCATAGTGATACCAATGGGTCCCGACACGTGACTTTCTCAGAAGCACACAGGAGCCCAAGAAAATGGGCACAGTCCACATGGAAGGGCGGGTGTAAGGACTGGCAGAGCTGACTGGTGGGGGGGGGGGGGCGCCTCGATGTCCCACCTAACAGCGTGATTTCAGAAAGCACAATCAGCTGATAGGAAATAAGGAATGATGTTCAAACATTCAAATAAGAAAGCAAATGATGTGTGAATGTCTTGAATAATAAGGAAGAATGAGGCTTAATGAGGACACAGGACATGATCAGTGGCCATGATGGAGTGGGAAAAGGAAGTTTGCCATCAGGGATGGGGCTCTAAAAAACACCAGAGGGTTGAACAACTGTGAATGATGACAAGTTCCACCGTGGGATCATGGAAGAGATTGCTTTATCTGTCTGCCTTGCGTCTGTCGTCTACCTTCTTAACCGTCCGCTGGGTGCTTACTACGCACCAGGCACCACGTCACCCTCTTCAAGGACACATGAAAGACAAGCTCTTTCACTCCTGTGTCTGCCAAAGTAATGAGCAGAGAAATGGGGGGGGGGGGCACGAGGGGTTCATCTACCAGAAAGTTAAAATGGTGTTGAAGAGACAATGCAGATTTTAGGTTCTTTATGCCAAAGACTACTTATTACAGAGATACAGTGTCCACTCTCCAAAACTGTATGAATAGATTCAGTCCTGAAATGCTAAAAAAAAGAATAGGCAAAACATCAAAATTTCGGGTAAAATTTTCATATAATCCTAATAGGGACAATACTCATTTAAATTCAATTTTGGGGGCGCCTGGGTGGCTCAGTTGGTTAAGCGACTGCCTTCGGCTCAGGTCATGATCCTGGAGTCCCTGGATCGAGTCCCGCATCGGGCTCCCT